GAAGTGAGCCAGCCGCCTCTGTCCGTGACCGTGTGAGAGCGATTGAGGGACGTGGTCGATCAAGATCCCCTAGCGGCACCGGGTTTGAGGGGGCCACTGAGGATTTCGGGCTGGCGGCCGAGCAGGGGGGCGTTAGGGTTTTCCCCATGCAGTCGAGCTGGGCCGGGGTCTGCGAGGACGGAGGCACTTTCGCCACGGGTCGAGGGGCCGAAGTTTCTCTGAAAAAACTTTCTCCGGCCGAGCGGGCTAAGTTTAGTGCCTCGGACAAGAAGGAATGGGCGGCTATGATGGGGACCGGGGCCGTTCGAGTCGTTCCCCCGGCTAGGGCGAGAGTCGTCCGACGTGAGCTTCCGGACAGGATCATCTCCAGCCGGATGGTTCGCAGGTGGAAGCCGGTGGGAGGAACGTTTGCCGAGCCGGAGGCAAAATCGAGGTGGTGCGTGCACGGCCATCGTGACCCAGACTCGGGCTCGCTGGCAGTGTACGCGCCAACTCCCCAGACCTCGTCGATCATGATGTTTCTGCAGGTCTCAGCCAACCTGCATCAGCTTCTGGACATAGCCGACGTTAAGAACGCCTTCTGTCAGTCCAATCCCATGCAGCGCGCTGCAGGCCAGATCTTCGTTGAGCCCTGCGAGGGGATAGACTTGGAGCCGGGGGCCCTCATCGAGCTTCTGGTGAATGTGCATGGGCTGGACGACGCCCCTGTGGCGTGGAGGCGCACGGTCGTTAGCTATCTAGAGCAGAACGGCTTCGTCCGAAGCCTGTTGGAACCGTGCTGGTGGATGCGCTATGGGTCCCAGGGCCAGATCCTCAACATGATGTTGCTAGAAGTAGATGACTTCATGATCGGCAGCTGCGACTCGACCTCGAGAGCCTGGGTCCGGCAGTTGCTGGAGGCCAGGTTCAAGTTCGGCAAGTACAGGGACTGCCACGCGGGTCCCGCGGACTTCGCCGGACGGCGGATCACGCTTGGGGAGCAGAAGATAACCGCTGATCAAGAAAAATACATCCTCGAGGAGATTCGGCCCCTGAGTTTAGCCAGGGGGAGGATGTCCCGTAGTGACTCCCCACTCGAGCCTGACGAATTTCGAGCACTCAGGTCCCTGGTATATAAGTTTAATTGGGTCGGCAGGGAATCCAGGCCGGAGGCCGCAGGCATCGCTTCGATCCTGGCCAGTCGTTTGAAGAGCGCGACGATTTACGATGTTTCCTGTGCCAACAAGTTGGTCAAACATCTTCGGACGACGGCCTCTCGAGGCCTGACGATTTGGAGCCTGGACCCGGACCGTATGGCGTTTGTGTCGTTTTCAGACGCCGGGGGAGTAGGAGCTGACATCAAGATGAATGATGACCGGGGGCTCCCGGCCGACCCAACCCAGGGGGCTTGGTTGGTGCTGGCCACTGACAAGTCCGTGCTGTTGAACAGCTCGGTCAAGGCGTCATTCTTGGGCTGGAGGAGTAGTAAGCTACGACGTAAGGTCCCGTCCACCCTGGCCGGGGAAACCCAGGCATTGTCCGCCGCCGTGGCGGAGGTGGAGTACCTTCAAGTGCTCTACAGGGACGTGATGTTCCAGGACGTGGACGTCCCTGAGTGCAGGAGGGCCTCAGGGCCCTTCACCACCGTGCTTCGTAGGGATTGCAAGTTGGGGTCCCGGGAGAACCAGGTGCACGTCGTAGATGCAAAGTCCATCTACGACACGATGTTGAAGGAGGGGAACGCCAGCGCCAAGGACAGGCGCACTGCACTGGACCTCGCAATCATTTGCGAAGCACTAGAACGAGCGCGCGGAAGCGTGCGATGGATCCCACACGGCAGGATGCCGGTAGATCCACTGACAAAGGATGACATCACCAAGAGCAATGCCGCCCTGGCCGACCTCATGACTCGAGGCCGGCTCATCCTGGTGGACGAGAGCTCCGAGCTGGATCGCCGCCGAGCGGCACCAGAGCTCAAGGATCGCTCCCAGCTGGCGTCTAGAAGGCAGTTGGCCAGGAGTCAGGACATGCTGTCGTGGCAGGAGTTCCTGGACCAGGAGCTCTACCAGGTAGGTGGTGGTGGTGGTGGTGGTCCTATCTCCCCCCTTTCCTCTCCCCCTCGGCCGGACGGTCCTCCCGGCCTACCTCCACCATCATTTCAATAGTCTTCCATTGTTGCTCTCATTCTCACCTTGTTTTCTTGAATACGGCCGTCCTGGGGGACGGAGGCTTCCATGGAGAGCCGCCACCGTGTACTGCGCTTTTCCGCGAATGGGTGGTCACAGTTCTCCTGACATGGGGAGAGCTGAACCTAGAAGAAAGTTTGACCAGTGTTGCAGTGAGGCAGATTTTCACTGATAGGTTCAGCGTCAGGAGTTTCTGTCCGTGACCAATGTGGCTCAAGGGTAAAACACCTAGTCTGTCTCCGTCTGCCACACCATGACAGGGGACCACGATGGATGCATGTTACATATAGAAGCGCATGGCACTCGGGGAAGCATAATTGTTGATGTTGTTGTCGTTGCTGATACTGCTGCTTTTGCTGTTGCTATTGCTGTTGCTGTTGTTAATGGTATTGTTGTTGTTGCTGCTGCTGTTGTTGCTGATATTGTTATTGATGTTGTTGTTGGTGTTGTTGTTGTTGCGGTTGAACGCCCACCTGTGAGAAATAATGTACTTTGATCCCTTTGCCCGGTGCACGTTGTATGTTTCAATTGAAGTGCCATCCCGGGGCTCGCACCCTGTTTTCTACCAGGGGAAATCTTGAGCCTCAAACTGCGCCCCAGGCTCCCGAGTTACAACAACATCGGTGTCCGTGTGATACGTTTTCACAGTGTATTCCCAAATCGTCCTTTCGCGCGGGATTTCACCATTATTCCTGCAGAAATTGCGCTCTCGCGTGCTTTTTCCTTACAATGTATTCAGACGCCGCGTGTTCGACTCTCAGAAATCACGCTCTCGCTTTGGTTTCCCTTACCACGTATTTGGGAGTCGCGCTATCGCTCGAGACTTCCTCGCGATTCATGCAGGACGCACGCTTCAGCAATCCGCTCCCTCGACCTGGCCGCCTGGGCCCGCCTTCCCGACCCGTCCGTTAGGGTCTACCCGCCCGATCTGCGTTTGGTTTTGCCACTTCTTTTGTGGTCGTCGCCCTCCTCATGCTATTCTGTCTCGTGCTCCATCATTCACCTTTCCCCTTGCCCATTCCTTCCATCCGTCCCCTCCTTCCCTGCCTTAGGGGCTGCGCGAAATACACGTTGCAGGTAATGAAGATATCCCCCCAATTGGGTACGATCTAATACGAAGAGGGTGGGTATCGAAGGTTTGGGATATACGTGTTGAATCGCACACGAGCAGATAAGAGCGAACAGTCTCAAGATTCACCTTATCGTTACTGCATTCATTTCTGACATGTCTGTTGTTGACCCCTCCACTGTAACCATTGTATGCTTGAGTTGAACTGTTTCTCCCGGGGTTCGCAAGCTGCTTTCACCACACTGCGCCGCTGGCCCCCAGTTTACAACAACAGCTGTTCCCGCCTGATATTTCTTCACAAGTCATTCCCAACTCGCGTTTTCGCGCGGGACTTCCTCACAGTGTATGATGGAGTCTGGCTCTCGCGTGTGATTTCCTCATTCTGATGCCGCGCCATCGACGCTCAGGAATCACACTCTCGTTGTGGATTCCTCCACGATTAATTCGGGAATCGCGTGGTCGCTCGAGATTTCCTCGCGATTGATGCAGGACGCACGCTTCAGCAACCCGCCTGCCCCTTGCCTCTTCCTTCCATCCGTCCTCTCTTACCCTGCATTAGGGGCTGCACGAAATATACGCTGCAAGGCCAGAAACCTATGCCCCGAATGGGGGCACGACCAAAGAGGAAGAGGGCGGGTATCGAGGGTTCGGGGTATACGTGTTGAATGGCACGCGAGCAGATAAGAGCGAACAGTGTTAAACATTGTGTTATCGTTGTCGAATTCATTTCTGTCACATATTTGTTGTTGACCCCCTCCCCCGTAACCATTGCATTTCTGAACTGAACTGTTTCTCCCGTGGTTCGCCTTCTGTTTTTACTTTTCCCAGGGAAAGCGAGGTGTCACGAAACTGCACCGTTGGCCTGCGGTTTACAACAACAGCGGCTCCCGCCTGGCACTTCCTCACAATTCACTCCCAAATCGCGCCTTCGCTCGGGACTTCCTCACAATGTATGGTGGAATCGCGCTCTCGCGTGCGATTTCCTTGCAATGTATCCAGACGCCGCGCATTCGACACTCAAAAATCACGCTCTCGCTCAGGTTTTCCTCACGATTTATTTGGGAGTCGCGCTATCGCTCGAGACTTCCTCGCGATTCATGCAGGACGCACGCTTCAGCAACCCGCCCCCCTCGACCTGGCCGCCTGGGCCCGCCTTCCCGACGCACCTGTTAAGGTCTACCCGCCCGATCTGCCCGTCGGGTTCTGCCACGTGTTTTCTGTTCCTAGCCCCCGTCCTGCTATTCTCTCTCGTGTTTCATGATCCTCCTTTCCCCTTGTCCCTTCCATCCGTCTTCTCTTTACCTGCCGCATGCCTCAGGGCTGCACGAAAAACACGTTGCAGGGTGAAGATATTCACCCAAGGGCGTACGATCGAAGACGAAGAGGGGGGGTATCGAGGGTTTGGGAAATACGTGTTAACTGGCACGTGTACAGAGAAGAACGAACACTATTAACATGATTGGTGTTGTTTGTGTTGGTGCTGTTGTTGTGCACCGGGGCCGACAACTCAGTTTGGTGACCCCACATTCCCATTTTGTAAAAGAATGCGAGCCCTGGAAGCACTTCAATTGAAAAGCACTGGTCGCCGGGCAGCGGGGATTAACACTTTTCATTGTTTAGACATGAGAATTCAACGCAACAGCAGTCCGCACCGCGGAACCCTACTCCAGCCACACACCCAAGGACAGTGAATGACCGTTCGGCCCTCTCTCTCTGGCGATACCAAGTATAGAAGGAACCAGATGACTCCCAAACTCGTGCCTCAGGGCACGGTGGCGGATATACTGTTTTGCGCTGGTCTGTCCTGAATCGGCCTGCGGCGACCGAATGGACTGCTCAGCCCGTCTCGCGAGCATTGCACGGCGCCTGCGGTCGTAGACTGCCCGTCCGCAGATGGTCGGACCCCTAGTTCGGATATCTGCCTTCCTGGGGGCACAAAGGACTGTCTCCTCGTTCTGCCTCTCCCGCTCTCTCTCTCTCTCTCTCTTTTCCTCCACTCTGTCACTCTCTCACTTGATGCTTCTGATGTGCGTTACTTCCCCCTCCCGTTCCCTTTGTTCCCTCCACCGCATGCCCCGCCTCCACCCCATCTCCAATCCCCCCACATCATTTCTGGATCTCCCTCCCCCCTTCCTCCCCAAGGTTCCCTACCTGCATGCTCCTGTATCTGCCTTTCTCCAGCCCTCTTCCCGTTCCTCCCGCAGTCTTGTCTCCCTCCTTCCCTCCCTCTCCCCTCCTGCTCAGGCACGACAACGCCGCTGCTGCCGGTCTACGAGGTGCTGGAGATTACGCGATCGAGTGCGCAAGCGGCGCAAGCGCGCTTTTGCACACTCGCAGTTGAGCGTTCGCATAGTTCCCCATTTGTGGGATGCTTGTTTTCCCATCCAACCTTTGCACTTTTACGCATTGCGACAGCAGCCCAGAGGGATTATTCACTCTGGCCGAGCACCTGATCAGCGGATCAGACTCGGATCAGACGTAGACCAGCCGATCAGCCGATAAGATTGATTGGCTGATAGGCTGATGGGCTGGTCTGCGTCTGATCGGCTGATCGGCTGATCGATCGCTGATCGGCTGATCGGTTGATCGGCTGACCGGCTGGTCGACCGCTGATCGGCTGATCGTTTGATCGGTTGCTGGACCGCTTATCGGCTGATCGCCTTATCGGCTGCCAGACCGCTCATCGGCTGATCGGCCATTGATCGGCCTATCGACCGTCTAACCGTTTAGATCTCCTGACCTGAGGTGGTCGGGCCAGTCTGGCCTGAGCCATCCTCCCATCTTTGGGCTCAGAGATGCCCCGCGCGAGGTGGTCCAGTCCACTCCGTCTAAGACATCCTCGCAATTCTGGGTTCAGAGACCCCCTGACCTGAGGAGCTCCAGTCAGTCTCGCCTGAGTCATCTTCCCATCTTTAGGCTCAGAGATGCCGTGCGCGAAGTGGTCCGTCCAGTTTCGCCTGAGACATCCTCGCAATGACGGGTTCAGAGATCCCCTGACCTGAGGTGGTCGGGCCAGTCTGGCCTGAGACATCCTCCCATCTTTGGGTTCAGAGATGCCTCGCACAAGGTGGTCCAGCCAGTTTTGCTTGAGACATCCTCGCAACTCCGGACTCATAGATCCCCTGACATGAGGTAGTCGGCCAGTCTGGCTTGAGACATCCTTGCATTCCTGGGGTCAGAGAGGTCCCGCACGAGGTGGTCCAGCCAATTCCGTCTGAGACATCCTCGCAGTTCCGGGCTCAGAGATCCCTTGACCTGAGAGGTTGTCGGGTCAGTCTAGCCAGGGTTGTCGAAGTCGCTAGCACTTTCGCGGCAACAGGGTGGCGGTAACGATGATTATGGCGGTAATCGAAAGGAGGGGGCAGGAGGGGGATGAAGGAGCTGGAGGAGGAGGAGGAGGAGGAATAGGAGAAGGATAATGAAAAGGAGAAGCCAAGCTCTGGGGCGACACTTGCGATTCAAGCCCAAACCGTGGGGAAATCCCGTGCGTCACCCCTGAATTGCTCCAAATACAATATGTTTCACGCATGTCTCTGCGACGAGCTCATGTGACCCCGTATGCGCGAAAGTAGCCGCGTGTGGTCAGACAACGAACATATGACAAAAACACTGAGTTTACGAAGGAACGGGGGTTACGCACGGGAAAACACGACTTATGTTGACGCATCCGCGTGCATTCTTAACTTTAGGGGAATCTATCCTGGTAAACCGATCGACTCGTGACAGGATGGCGAGCTCGTTAGCGCATAGAGGGCACATGGGCAAAACAAGCGCACCTCGTCCAAGGGTGTCCCCGGTTCGGTCGCTTCGGCTGCATAGCATCCAAGTTGCGTTCGGTCGGTTGGGTCTGGTCGGCTGTTGGGTTTTTTCGCGTCGCTGCGCCCTTCTAGGCTGCTTGTGGCCCGTCGGACACAGCCAGTTTCGGTTTCATTGTCGGTTCATTCGGGTCCGGTTCCGACCGCGCAGCTCTTTGGGCCATCGGTCTTGCGTTGCGCCGCGGCCCGAGACGTGGGGTAGGCCACATGATGGACCACGGATCACGGGAGTGGGGGAGCACGACGCGTTTGAGGCCAGCGCGGATTTTTTTGGGTCGACGCTGGTGGCGGGTTTCGCGTGCCAGGTACGGGAGCACCCAGCGCCTACCAAAAAATCCGCGCGGACCTCGGACAGTTTATCATGCCATGCCGTCAGTGTTCTTCTGGGAAAGGGTCGGGCGCGCACCGAGTCCGAGAGCGTGCCGCTATGGACTGGGCACGTTGCTCTCCGAGACGGACAGACAGGGGAGGGGGTAGAAGGATAAGCAGGGAGGGCGTAGAAGGATAAACTGGGAGTATGGAAAGGAGGGGGCAGAATGATAGACAGCTGGGGGAGGGGAGCACGGGAGGAGGGAAGAGTGGGGGGAGGGAAGGGCCCAGACTTTCGACGATTTGATTTTTTGTCGGGTCGCTTCTCCCTGGGACACTAGATCCCCTCTCTGGTAAGCACCATCTTCTCGTCTTGAGTCGTCTTCTGAGGGTCTTGTGGTCCAGCAGCGGCCCCTGGAGGCTAATTTTGGCGAGAAGGCGTGAGCGCAGTTCTTGAGTCGCCGGATGTCTCGGCGGATCTTCTTCCAGAGGGGGTCCGAGGAGCCTAAATCAGCACGAATGCCAAAAGCCTGGACCCTCGATCCTGTCCTCGATCCTGTCCTCGATCCTCGATCCTGCATTCCTCCTGCGTGGGCAAGCGTTTGGCCCGAGCAGCAGCCTCCCTGGGCGCGCCTTTCCGCCCTCGGCCGCGGTCGCCCAGCGGCGCCTGCCCCGATGGGGTGCGGCAGTTCGAAGCCGGGCGCTCAGGGGCGGCGCTTCGGGCGGGGCCACGTCGCGGGCAGGAGGGCTCCCCAGTCCCCCTCCCGCCGTGAAAGTATCTCGGCGGCAAGTTTCTGGCCATCTTCGGTCTCCAGGACCTGGCACCGGGCACGGGGACAGTGACAAAGGCTGTTCGCAGGACGCAAAGCGTTTCCAGATCTGGGGGGGTCTACGTTGGGAACAGATCAAGACGTCGACGGTCTGAGCCAGCGGCGCGCATGGTAATTTTCCCCCCGAACTTGCTGTGTTGCGGGGCCCTCGTTGTCACGCTGCAGCGCCTCTGTCTCCCGCCGCGTTATCCCGCCCCCCTTCTTACCCCTCTTCGCCCCTACTCGTCATTCCGTTGCCAATGTCGGTACGCCCTGAATCGCATCGTGACTATGAAGAAGCTCCACCCACGGTCCTGGTGGGAGACATCGTGTTCATCCCACACAGTCTTTACTGCCACGGGGCCCGAAGCGCCCCCCAGTGGCCGCACAGGTAGGAACACCGGCCGTCCTTTGTTCTTCTACTTGTGTGTGAGCGTGTCTACATGTGTGTGTGTGTGTGTGTGTTTCAACACGTTGGGTGTGTTGCCAAGCCAAGAGTACGTGGAAGTTGCTCTCTCCGAAGCGCCTTTGCCCAACGCGGAGGATCTGGAGGACGAGGACGAGGAGGAGGAGGTGACGGTGGTGGTGGTACTGGGGGATGGTATTGGGAAGGGGTTTGAGGGTCGAAGTCTTGAGAGGAGGAAAGGGGGAGGGGGAGGGGGATGGGAGGGGGAGGAGGGCGGGGGACCCAAGCCCTTTCGGACTGCGCGAAGTTCTGCAACAGAGCATTTCGTTCGTTCACCCTGCCCACTCTCAGAGAAAAACAACTACGCACCATAGCCTTACACAGGTCCGCGAGAATTTCTCCGACCGGCGCTGGGCCCCCCTGCCTGGCGCGCGAAGCGCGCCACGGGCGGCGCCAGAGGCGCTGCCAGGGGGATCCAGCACGCCTGAGCGCCGCGTCGCTGACCACCCAGCTGTCCGGGGCCGAGCCTTGCTCGACGTGGTGTCCGTCTGTCCGTCCGTCCATCCGAACGATCATGTGTACGCACTTTTTCGATCTTGATTCCGTCACCTCCCATTTTCTGGGCGCGAACGTGCGCGGGGGGCAGTTTTGCGTTCTCTGCTCTCTGGACCTCGCAGTGTGCCTTTTCGCCACAGACGGCCAGATCCGGTTCGAAATCCTACCTAGAACGGGTTCTGAGAGAGGCCAGAGTGCAAGGGATGAGGAGGACGAGGAGGAGGACGAGAACGAAGAGGAGGAGGAGGACGAGGAGGATGAGAAGGAGGAGGAGAAGGACGAGGAGGAGGAGGAGGAGGAGGAGAAGGAGGAATTTGTAGGATACTGAAATGTGGCCCGCGCTGGGGCGATGGCGCCACCCTGAACGACAGGAGCACAGAGCCGATCTGATAATGAGGCCCACGCTGTTACGAGAGGAGCAGCGAGATGGCAAAACAACGTATTATGCAACAGTTGCTGAGATCTTATTTATCCGGCGAAAATGCCAACCATATGCAGCTGTGAGTAACGCAGGTGTGCGCATCGCCTTCGGTCGAGCTTCTTGTGTGGCTACGGAAGGTGTGGGGGGTGCCAAAAAATGTGCTCCAAGGGTGCGTGCGAACGGTGCCACTGGGACCTTCGGTGGAGCTCCCTATGGGGCCACGACGCGTGTGAATGGTGTGCCGAAATGGGTGGCGGGGGCGCCTGCAGACAGTGCCATTGAGGCCTTCGGTGGGATGGCCTGTGGGTCTATGGGGCCACGAAGCGTGTGAGGGGTGAGAGAGTCGGGGTCCGCTAGCATTCCCACCACCTCCTTACCTTCCCCCGCTGGCCTGCCTTCTCGCCCAGCCTGCCTCCCGCCGCTCTTTCGGTTCTTTTCCAAGGCCCTTGACCAATTTACGAACTTCGCCCGAGCCCGTGCGACATATGCGAACAGATCTCTGCCGAGAGCGCCGAGAGCTGGACTGGCGCGGCGCGCTGGACAAGGAAATTTCGACCACCGCGGCCTCCGCCAGTGGTTGCGGAGCCGGCTCTGCCGGCGATCCACGGACGCCCGCCAATGGCGGGCACACCTGAGCTGCGCGCGGGCCAGGGCAGCGACGCGGCCCTCCTTTTCGCGTTGAAGCTCGGCGTCGACAACGGCAAGCGGCCGGCACGCGATGGATGACGGTGCACCCCAGCGCGGCGGCGAGGGCCTTTCGCTCACTTCGGTCTCGGATGGCGCGACGTACCGACACGACGTTGAGATCTAGGCGCTGTGCACCAACCTTGATGTGAACTGCTGCGTGGTTGTTCGCCTCGTCTCGAGGCTGAAGGGCGCCGCGAGGCGCGTGTGTCTCAGCACCCCGAGGAACGACTAGCAGGCCGCCCGGCAGTCGATGAGCAGCTAGACGAGGATGGGAACATCGCGCGCGAGGGCGAGGCAGCCGACGGCACGGGGGGATCCACGACGTGCTCTCGCCGCCTGAGGCGGCGTTCGACCCCCGGCAGGCGGTGCGGCGAGGAAAGTCCATGGGAGAGCTCCTCCAGTCGCCGAGATACAATCGCCGAAGTGGCGATAGGATGCCACATTGCATCCCCAGGTTCGACGGCGGCTTCCAGCTGCTTGAGGACGACCGACCATGGCGACGTCCTAGGCTGGCGGTTCTTGAAGAAGTGCAACCTGGGCGCCAGAAGGAGCGAAGAAGATAGTGGCCGGGCTCGTCCTCGACCTGCGCGTTAACGAGGCCCGCGGGCCGCCCCCGTCGCCATCCCTTTGGGTGCGGCGGCTGTCGAGGCCAGCCGCGCCGAGGTGAACATCTTCACAGATGTCGACAGATGCCTGGGTCACGGAGCGCGACCGGCACGACGAGGGGAGGGGGCGGCCGCGGCGAGGGCCGCGGGCCGAGACGGCCGCGGCGAGGTCCGCGGCGCGCGCCCTTCGCCGAAGCCCCCCGGAGAGCTGAGGAGCGAAAGAAGAAGTCAACCCGCTGCGCGTCGGGCTTTGGGCAGGAGATCCCGAGCGCAAGACCCTGGCCGAGCGCGGCGCCAGGCCCGCGGAAGCTGGCGACTTGGGCTCCGATTCGGCGCGGGGGGCCTTCCCGGCGCACTCGATCGGTGTCCGCTTGCTCAAGAATTAAACGTGGTTCTTAGCGGCCAACTATCTGATCAGGCTTCAGGGGCCACCTCCGAGGACTGGTCGACGCGGCGCGCGCGATGTCTGCGATGGGCGACGTCTGACGGGATGCCTACTCATGAGAGGCGTTGAAGGAGCTCGGGCTCGACGGGATGATCGAGCGCGAGTCGGCGGTCGAGAAGTTGCGGCGCGGGGGCGGCGGGGCGCTCGCGTCGCGCCAGGCGTTCAGGCCCCCGGCCGCGGAGGTTGGAGTTTTGCAGTTTTCGCGCGGGCCCGCGCGGTCAAGGGCGGCAAGCTCTCGCTGCTCCTCGGCCGTGCCTTCTCGGGGGCGGTTGGCGCGATTATCGACGTGCGAAGGGGGCGTCTCTCGGCGGGGTCTGGGTTGCAGGCGTTGCTGGACAGCGAGAACAGGCGCGCTCCCTTGGAGCTTAAGCCAGAGATGGTCAAGGCTCCCACAGAGGCCGACAATGCTCTCACATAGGCCGACGAGGTCGAGGATGAGCCCCCGCCGGAGCTGGTCCACTGGGCACGTCTGGCTCCGAAGTCGGCGGGCAAGGTCGGCTCGCGCGCGCCGGTGATCTGCGCCATCGCGGCCGCCGCGCGCGGCGCCATGGCAGACGCGCGGTCTACGTCGACAAGAGTTTCAGCTGGGTTGAAAATCTGCTAGGACCTCCCTACGGGGATCGCGTCGCCACGGGTCTGGGCGGAAAAACTGCCGGGACATCGCCAATTTTATTTGGATTATGACGACGATGGGTAGGGCCGAGTTGGTAGCCCCAGCGACGCGCGCCGCTATTGGCGATTGCTCGCCGCGCTGTCAGGAGACGACCCTCCACCCGTGCCAGATATGCAGCGCGGACAAGCGCTTGCCGCGCCTCGGGGGATTCTGCAACCACGTCGCGAAGGAAGATCTTGAGGCGGCCTTCGCAGCGCAGCATCAGGACTGGAAGAGGCTTCGGACATGCGCAGCCACCCATCATCGACCGGGGGGCCAGGCCAGCAATCATGCGACGTGACCACAACTTCCGCCCGGGTCCGCGACGCGGGCGCTCGACGCGCAGCTGAACGACGCGCCGGCCCCGACGGCGGCAAGGGCCACGAGGCAGGCGCAAGTTCGGCAGCCTGGCGAGGGAGGCCTTCGCGAGGGGCGGCGCAGTCGCTTTCGAGCGGAGAGTCCGTTCCCGCGGCTGGAACGAGGGCGGGGGCGGGAGCTGCGGCGGCCCCGCCCCTGCGAGCGCGTCTGCGACGCGCGCGCCCGCGGCCTCCCGGACCACGGGGCGGGCGAGTCAGATATGAAGCCGTAGGAGGTCATCGCCAACCGCCAGCCGCTCTGTAGCACTTCCATGGCAAGGGGTGCCCCGGCAAACGCGCCCACCTCGACGGCCGCGAGCTCACTTGCAGGACCTCCAAGCAGACAGGCCTCGACGCGCAGTCGCTGCGCCCCGCCGTCGCGACGGGGCTCGTGCGAAATTTTCCGGGTGCGAGCTGCGCGCCAGTCGCCGCGACGGGCGAGCCGGAGGGCGAGGGCGTCGATATTAATCCTGACTGAAGGCGTCTCGGCAGCGCTGGGGCCAGAGCAGCGCGTCGCGTTTGCGCGGGCCGCGGGCAAGGCGCGCCAACCTGGGGCGTGCGAGGGATTGAGCGCCAGCGCGAGCCGTCCGTCTGGCTGGAGGCTCAAAGCGTGCGATGGCGGCCGCGCTCGCGCACCGCTGTCCCCCTGCGTCAAGCTGGCAGCGCCGCCGTCCGCGCCGGCGGCGTCGCTGCGAGACTGCCTGGCCGTCGCCATCGACGCCTTCGAGCTAGCCGGCGTGCGCGGCGGGTCAATGGGCCCTTTCTGAACATGATCGACGTGGCCACAAAGTTTCACGGCGCGGTCCTGGTCATCGCCCGACAGCCTGCCGTCATTTGGCAGGCGCTGCTGGACAATTGGCTGCCATGGCCGACATGGGCGGCGAGTCCGAGCGAGATGTCGAGGAGGAGCTCGAAGACATGGGCTCGCGCATCATATTGAATGCACCCTACAACCCCATGCTTAATGCCGTCTGCGATCGGCGCGGCAAGTCGTGGAAGGCTCGCGCTCGGGCCCTGGCGGCCGGGATTTTCAGCTTCTTCAGCAAGCGAGAACAGCTGGAGTGGCTCGCGGCCTCCACCAACAACGCGTTGCGCTCGGCCGTCGGCCCCTCAGGCTACTCGCCGTCGCAGTGGGTCCTCGGCAGAGGCAGCAAGCTGCCCTGTCAGCTGCTCAGCCAGCACGGCAACCTGCAACTACACGAGCGCATGCTAGACAACGACCTCGGCTGCCTGGGGCGCATTGCGCCGATGGCAGCAGCCCAAAGATCCGTGATCGGGCGCGACGCCAACAACCTCTGGCTGGCCCGCCGCAACCTCGCGATTATGGCGTCGACGAGGCGCGCGAGAGCGGCCCGATCCTCAGAGGTGGTCGACTGGAAGGACATATCCGAGCGCGCTGTGGGCTCCAAGCCCGCCGGCGAGAAGCCGGCCCGGCGGTCGCCGCCGCCCGCGGGATTGGAGGAGAGGTGGAGGTCGACAACGAGACCCAGTCATCGCCGAGCCGCCGCCCGCGAAGCTTGGCCCGGACGATTCCAACCTGGCCGCGTCGATCGACGAGCACGCCGCGGCGCCGCCGTCGCAGCAGATTGAGGGGGCGCCGCGGCACTGCGGGCTTGTAGGCGGGCGTCGAGGCAGGGCCATCGACTGGGGCCGCCAGGTGGCCGAGCGGCGTCTTGCGCCGCGCGCCGAGCCAGCTCCCCGTGGCGAAGGAGCTGCGGGGCAGTATCGAGTGCCGCCGTCCCACCTGCTGTGCCGCAGCAACCGCGCAAGGTCCAGTTCGGACCCAGGCTACCTGAGCTTCTACTTCCACCCGCTGAGCCACAGCAGCCGCAGCGCCCTGAGCCTCAGGGGCGCGCGGAGGAGGCCGCCTGCGCCAACGGCGCTGCGACGCGGAAGAATCGCCGCAGCTGCCACGGGGCGAGGATGACGCTGGAGGGCGAGGTTCAGGATGTCGAGGAGCCAGGGGCGCCCTACGTGGACACTGACTTTCAGCATGCGATAGGCGAGACACCGCTCGAGGACTGCATGCCCTACGAAGAGGCCCCACACTTCGCGACCGTGGAATAGCGCGAGCTGGTGCGATTTGTTCAGGCTGGTCCGTGTGCGACCATGCCTAGACGCAGTTTCAGCCGCACGTGAGAGGCGAGACCGGCTCGCCATGATCACCTCGACGACGCCCGCATTCCATCGAGAAACTTGCTGCTGGACTAGGACCTCGGCCCAGGCCCCGCCGTGGCCATTAGAGCCAGCCGCCGCGCACGGACGCCAGACATGCCTTGTTTCTGAGCGCCGAGGGCGTCCGACGCTGCTGCTTGACCGAGGCGGCCGGGCCCATGAAGGGCGATGTCGAGTCTCTGTCTCTCCGGCAGCGACATCCGCAACCTGATGGCCTCCATGGATGCTGAATGGGAGGCGCGGGCGGTTTTTGGAGTCTCCCGGAGATGCCCCGACCACGAGGTGCAGCGCCATTTCTGGAACGGCGCCGCGGTTGTCGGCGCCAGACGGGCAGTCGCGCCCACGCATGCGAAACGGCCCAAGTATAGAGCAAGGCTAGCGGTCTAGGGCTGCCAGGAGACAGGATGTTCCCACGACGCGACATCGGCGTACCTCCAGGCGGAAAGGGGATCGATCGGCCCACGCTGATCCGCGTGCCCGAGCGGCGCCCGACGGACCCTGGAAAGGTCCACTATGCCCGGGGCTCGACATACGGCACCAAGGATGCTGGCTGGGCCTGGCACAAACATCTCCGCGAATATCTGGCGAAGAAGGGCATCCGCGAGTCGACGCTCGAGCGCGGGGCGCGCAGGTTCGCGCGCGGAGGCGATCTCAAGATGTTGCTCCACAGCAACGTCGACGACCTACTGGTGGTTCGCAAGACTGTCTGCCCTGAATCGGAAAGTGTCCTAGAGGACCTGCAGGAGTCGTTGCGCTCGGCGGAGCGTGACGCGGCCTTCGAGTACTGCGGGGTGCAGATCGAAATCGGCGACCGGCATCCGAGCTTCCCAGGTGAAATCTGAGGAGGCAGTGGAGCACATCGACGTCAGTCTGGCTCAGAAGGAATCGGCCGAGGAGCTCGTCACTCAGGAGGAGCTCAGTGGCCGCGGTAGCACGAGCGGGCAGCTGCAGTGGCTAGCCCACCGCTCAAGGCCGGGCGCGCAGCGGACGCCCGCGCTCATCGCGGCAGTTTTGATCGCCGCCAATAATGGCGCCCGGCAGATCAAGGACACGATGGAGCACGCCCTCTATTTCAGGAAACGCGCGGCGAGGCTCGAGGACTCGACGGCCCAGGCCTACAGGGGCTCCTCGTTCGCGAACGTCGAGGGCGAGAAGAGCCAGGCGGGCGCAGTTCTGCTCCTGACGAACGACCCGCGGTGCGTGATCCTCGGAGGCCACGACAAGCAGGTCCCGCCTGTCTGGGCCAGCCTCGGAGCCAAGCGCATGGCGCCGTCCGCGCTTGCGGCTCAGGCCTCCGGTATCAGCGAGGCGATGGAGCACCACCCATTCCTGAGGCAGTTCGTCTTCGAGCTCTATCCGGACCGCGACGTCTAGCTAAAGGACGTGGAGATGCAGTATGCGAAGCGGAAGCTGGTCGTGGTCACGAACAGCGATGACTTGAAGATCACGGTGGATCGAGACAGCGGGTCCTGCGCTGACAAGAGGCTCCGCGCTGCGGTGGCAATTCGTTGGCAGTGCGTCGAGCCAGCCGACAACGCTATTCTGAGCTGGGCCCGAACAGATGCTATGGTGGCAAACTGTCCTACGCAGCTGCTGGCACCAGCGGGATTTATTCTGGCTTTCTTCGGTTCCAATCCGCGCGGTATCTCGCCGCCCATGAAGGAGCGGCAGCAGCTAGCTCCAAGCCAGATCCAAGTGGCAAAGACTCAAAGACAACGCGCGCGGCGATCTCGTCCACGAGGGTTTCCAGGCCTACAACGTGCACGGCAAGGTCATGGATACCGATGGCGGCGCTGAATGCAAGCTGGTGGTCCTGGCGTGCTATGTCACATCTTCGGCAGTCGCGCCTGCTGCGGGCGCGAGATGATGATTATCCAGAGTACGTGATTCCGATATTGTTCGTGGCAGTAGTGAGCCTCGCGTGGCAGACGAGGGAGCTGGCGGTGCAGGGAGACCCCTTCGGACGCCATGGAGGTCGACTCGGACACCCTCTCCCTGGACGAGCCGGAAGCGGTCACCATGATGGAAAAGCCCAGCAGCGACAAGACGGGGGCCGCCGCTGGACGCGCTGCCATCTTCAAGCCAATGGCCGACCTGCTCGCGGTCTTCTCGTTCGCTTCCGTCCGCTAGAATCCCGAGGAGAAGAACCGGCGCAACGCGCCCGCGGTGACCTGAGTGGCCGACGGCATCTTGCGCAATTGCAGCTCCATGGGCAAGCAGATTGGCCGGCAGCAGGCCATGGACGCAGCGATGTGGACCTCTCGGCACTGCGAGCCTGAGGCCCCGCTCAACGGCAGACTGCGCCAGCGTGCGCCTGCGCGTCCGCGGGCCCAGTGGGCGCGCTGATAGTCGCTATCGGCTTCATGTTCTCACGACGCGAAATAGGCGCACCTCCAGGCGGAAGGGGATCGATCGGCCCACGCTGATCCACATGCTGGAGCCGCGCCCGACGGACTCTTTAAGGTCCACTATGCTTAGGGCTCGATATACGGCACCAAGGATGCTGGCTGGGCCTGGCACCTGCATCTCCGAGAATATCTGGCGAAGAAGGGCATCCGCGAGTCGACGCTCGAGCGCGGGGCGCGCAGGTTCGCTGGCGGAGGCGATCTCAAGATGGTGCTTCCACAGCAACGTCGACGACCTGCTGGTGGTTCGCAAGACTGTCTGCCCTTCGGAAAGTGTCCTAGAGGACCTGCAGGAGTCGTTGCGCTCGGCGAAGCGCGACGCGGCCTTCGAGCACTGCGGGGTGCAGATCGAAATTTGCGACCGAGGCATCCGAGCTTCCCAGGTGAAGGCTGAGAAGGCAGTGGAGCACATCGACGTCAGTCTGGCTCAGAAGGAGTCGGCCGAGGAGCTCGTCACTCAGGAGGAGCTGAGTGGCCGCGGTAGCACGAGCGGGCAGCTGCAGTGGCTAGCCCACCGCTCAAGGCCGGGCGCGCAGCGGACGCCCGCGCTCATCGCGGCAGACCTGATCGCCGCCGATAATGGCGCCGGGCAGATCAAGGACACGATCGAGCGAGCCCTCTATTGCAGGAAAGGCGCGGCGAGGCTCGAGGACTCGACGGCCCTGGCCTACGGGGGCTCCTCGTTCGTGAGCGTCGAGGGCGAGAAGAGCCAGGCGGGTGCAGGTCCGCGCCTGACGAATGACCCACGGTGCGTGATCCTCGGAGGCCACGACAAGCAGGTCCCGCCTAACTGGGCCAGCTGCGGGGTCAAGCACGCGGCACGGCCCGCGCTTGCGGCAGAGGCTTACGGCATCAGGGAGGCGATGGAGCACCACCCATTCCTGAGGCACTTCGTGTTCGAGCTCTATTCGGACGGTGGCGTCTAGCTGAAGGGCGTGGAGATCTAGCTTGCGAGGCGGAAGCTGAGCGCGGTCACGACCAGCGATGACTTGAAAATGGCGGTGGACCGAGACAGCGGGTCCTGTGCTGACAAGCGGCTCCGCGTCGCGGTAGCAATGTTTCGGCTGTGCGTTGAGCCTGCCGACAACGCCATCCTGAGCTGGGCCCGAACAGATGCCATAGTGGCAGATTGTCCTACGAAGCTGCTGGCAGCAGCGGGATTTCTTCTGGCTCTCTTCGGTTCCAATCCGCGCAGTATCCCGCCGCCCATGATGGAGCGTCAGCAGCTGGCTCCGAGCCAGATCCAAGTGGCAAAGACAACGTGCGTGGCGATCTCGTGCACGAGAATTCCCAGGCCTACAACGTGCACGACGAGATCATCGATACCGATGGCGACGCTGACATCCGAGTTGGTGGCCCTGGCGCCCTGTGCCACATCTTCGGCAGTCGCGCCTGCTGCGGACGCAAGAAAATTATTATCCAGAGTACGTGATTATGAAATTGCTGTTGGTCCTCGCCTTTCTCACGATGGCAGTAGTGAGCCTCGCGTGGCAGGCGAGGGAGCTGGCGAGTGCTGCAAGACAGATCGGTCAAGTCTAGCAAAGGTCGACCCTTTGAGGGGGTGCATCCTGTCGTCTGTCCTGAAGACGGCGGCCGCGAGGTGCAAGAAAACCCCATCGGACGCCATGGGGGTCGACTCGGGCACCCTCTCCCGGGGCGAGCCGGAAGCGGTCACCATGATATAAAAGCCCAGCAGCGACAAGACGGGGACCGCCGCTGGACGCTTTGGTATCTTCAAGCCAATGGCCGACCTGCCCGCGGTCTTCTCGTTCTCCTCCGTTCGCTAGAACTGCGAGGAGAAGATCCGGCGCAACGTGCCCGCGGTGACCTGAATGGCCGACGGCATTTTCCGCCATTGCAGCTCCATGGGCGAGCAGATAGGCCAGAAAGGAGGCCACGGACGCAGCGATGGGGATCTCTCGGCACTGCAAGCCTGTGGCCCCGCTCAACGGCAGACTACGCCAGCGTGGCGCCTGCATATCTGAATAGAGGGCCTGCAGCGCCATCCCGAGTCGCTCGGCGAGTTCGACCTGACGAAGCCGGGCTGTCATTTTCCGGTGATTGAAGCTACACATCATGTTCATTTTCGAGATTGTCGAGGTGAGCGCGGAGAAGGCCGCTTTCTCCTTTTACGGTTGCCAGCCAGGCGCCGTCGGATGGTCCGCGCCCAGCTGGAGGCGGCAGCGAGGAGGACCTGAGAGAATCGGGGCCCGCCAGCGCCCCTACCACCTTCCTTCTCCACTGGCTTGCCCTATCGCCCATGCAGCTTCAAGCGGGACGCCCGGCCCGCTTGACCGACAAGTCTGGGGGTTCGACACGGACGAGTTTTCCATGCATAAGGAAAAGGACTGGGAAGTGAGAGGTGGAGGTGGGAAGGGAGGAGGAACAGAGCGAGGAAGCGGAGTAGGGACGTGGGAGAGGGCTGGGTGTGGAGGAGGAGAAGAAGGAGGAGGAGGAGTAGCACAAGGAGGATGGGTAAGGTAAACCCAAAACGCACGAACGATGTTGGAGGACCCCCCCCCGAGCTCACTTTTTTCACCGGCCCGTGCAAGGAGTCATCCCCACTGAAGGAATTGCCCCGTCGGGAGACAGACGCCTTGAGATCCTGACGCGTGCCAAAACAGATGTTTGGGAACAACGAACCAGCCTAGCTGTTGCGTATTGGCGATCCTGAATCGTGCCAGAATATCATTCCCGAGAGTTCAACACCGCGAATCAGGGTGACTGCTGCGGCCAGGCAATCCTGAGTCGTTCCAAACCATGTCTTTGGTTTGCTAACCATGGGAATCAATGAAGTTCATGCGAATGTCGCAAACATGTGCGCGCGGCGCTAAAGCGACGGCTATAGTTTGAAAAGGAATCGCCTTCAATCCGTGAGATTCTCGCAAATGTTTTAGAGGACTGTGCGCGGCGCCGGGGCGAGAGCCACATTTTGGAAACCACCTGCCCTCAATCTACGAAAGTCTTGCACCTGTTTCAAACGCGTGTGCGCGGCGCGAAAGCGGCAGCCACATGTTGAAAAACAACCGCCGTCAATTTGTGATTTTTGGGGGGGCGAATTTGTGTTACGAAGGTGCGCCGTGCTAGAGAGACATAGAGAAACAGAGAGAGAGAGAGAGACAGAGAGAGAGACAGAGAGAGACAAAAGGAGAGACAGAGAAAGAGAGAGAGCCACATTACGAAAGGGAACTGCCCTCAGTCCGTAAAACTGTTGCAGATGTTTATGGCGAGTGTGCGCCGCGCGTTGGTGAGAGCCGCATTTCGGAAGAGGCCCGCCCTCCATCTGTGAAGCTGTTGTCAGTTTTTAAGCTTCACGGTCATAAATGGTAGGGGAGCTTCAGGAAAAACGTAGGAGCCGCCTTTTCGATTGGCTTTGGGGTGCGACAGGGCGGAGTTCATGATAAGGAGAAAGAATGGAGGAGGGGAATGAAGGGGGCGAACGGTCTTTAAGGTCCGACCCGGCAGCCGCAAATGGTTCTGCCACTAAGCCCGTCAGCGACAAAGAGCAGGACAAGAAGGCAGCCAAGGAGCTCGGCCAGACCCCGAAGGGGTGAGCATTACGTCGGGGACTTGTTTTAAGAGCCCGCCATGGCGCTAGGAATCTTTCTCAGAACCATTCGGAAAAGGACTCGGACATCCGCTGCTTGGGTTTCACCCGCGCCCCTCCCTCACCCCCCCCCCAGGCATCACACGGCCCGAACAAGAATCACGCCAGATATCTTCGGCCATCTTCGTCGTCTGGGGGCCGTCTCTGAACCCAGGGATTGTCGACCAGCGACTCGACATGAGAAGCCAGCTCCACGGAAAGGGTCGAGATTTCCGACAACCCCGTATTGAACAGTACCTCGACGTTGGAGGTCCGGTCCAGGATTTGGTTCCCCTTGCCCCTTGCCACGGGGCTCGCCTTGCGCTTGCAAAAAATACATGCTGGCGCGGCCGATCCGAGTCGAGTTCAACCTCAGGATCACGTAGCCCGCTTTGATGCGCGTTCCGATCCGATCCCATTTCTTGCTTCGGGACTGCTCTTGCCACAGAGCAGAAAAACCGCTTTGTTCGCCAGCGCCGGACCCCCTCCTCGCACCCCTTCCCAGAGCGTGGAGCGCACGCGGGGGGCGGCATTGGAGGCGCCTCCCAGCGGTGTGGGGAGAGGGTCCGGCGCCGTCGGAGACATCGTCTGCGAATGTATCCGAAGCTTCTTACGCATGCGCTTGTCTGGCCACCCGAAGGAGCAGAACAAGGAGTACCAGACGACCATGCAGTTTTTAGGGCAGGTGCAGCTCTTCAAGCGGCTCCCCAAAGACCAACACCCGCTGCTCGCGGGTGCGGTAGAGCCCGTGGAGTTCAAGGCTGGTAGCTTGGCGACCAGCACCCCTAGCTGTGCAGAGCAGGAGTACGAGGATGAGGAGGACCGCTACCCCCAGCGTCACGAACTGATTGTGGCGGTCGTTTATGGTTGTTTCTACTATTTGGACGTCTGGAGGTCGTTCTAGGCTCCAGGGCAATTAACAAACGATCAGGACGAAAAATCAAGCCACGCGACGGGGCCGAGAGCTCAAGTCTCATGGATGGAAAATCATAACGGATATCTCGGGAGGAGGCTTCCAAGGCTGCCAGCACGGCGGTCGAATCGTTGGCGCGAATATATTGTAGTGGCCTTCGGCCAGTGCCGCCGATCCGGGTCGCTCGGTGTTATTCTCCAGACGCAGACAGTATGGGCGCACACTCAAACGCACAAACTTCTCGGGTTACCTTCGAAAGGGCGTAGGAATGCAGTTGGGTCAATAGAGCCATCTCGCAACAGTGGTTCTATCAACGGCGGGGTGCTTGCAGTGACCGTGGGGACGGGAAATAATAATGACATGAAAATTCCATACAGGATGCCGATCACTTTGGAAACTCACGATACGTCGTGCACGGAGTCGTGTTACGAAACATGTGGCCTGGACGATGTGGTGCGAGCGGTGGAGGCGAGCATATCGGCGCAAGGACGCCCTCTTGGGGCGTTTTTTGAGCCATCTTAGGAGCCTATCAGGGCGTCGTGGGGGCTTCTTGGGGGCTTTCGGAGGCCCTCTTGGAGGCTCTTGGGGCCTCCTGGGGGCCTCGTGGGCTGGAAGGCTAGATTTTTTCCGCTTTTCGTCCCTCTTTTGGGTTCTCTTGGGGCAGTCTTGGGGGCCTGTTGGGCCGTCTTGGGCGGCTCTTGGGCCGCCTTGGGGCCCTCTTGGGCCGTCGTGGGACTGTCTGGGGGCCTCCTGGGCCGTCTTCGAGCGGTCTTGGGGGCCTCTTGGGCCGTCTTGGAGCGTCGGAAAGCCGAAAAAAGCGACAACCCCAAAAACATTGAAAAAACCAATGGGAATCAACGATTTTTGCCTCTGGGGGCCATCGTGGGAGGCCTCTTGGAGGCCTCTTCAGACGTCGTGGAAGGCTCTTGGGCCGTCTTGGGGCCATCTTGGGCGTGTTCGGGCGATCCTTCGGGGTCTCGGGACTTTCGTAGACCGTCCTCAGAGACTTTTGCGGCCGCGGCCACCCTTCCAGCGCATCCTCGAGATTAGAGCCTTCTGTAAAAGCAGCGCCCCGCATCCGCCGGAAACTCGCCCCCCCCCCCCCCATCCCCCCTTCCCCGGCAGAGCCACCCCGGCAACCCCCCCAGAGGCTGAGGCTCAGCCTCGAGGCTGTAGCTGAGACTCCTTGGAACTCACAAGCCGGATCGGCGGATTTTGAATCGGCTGATCGGCGAGACGTATCAGAGGGATTGGATCAGTCGATCGCTTCCTTATTGGACGGGGGATGAAGATGAGACGTGCCAGGTGGTTGCCTCGAGTTTTGCCACCGTGCCAGCGTAGGATTCTGTGTAGCATCCCTCGGTCCTTCAGAACCGTCGTCTTGAAGGCTGGGACATGCGGCTGCTCTCGTCCCTAGGCTCCTGAAGGCCGAGACATGTGAGACGCCCTTTCTGCGGCTCAAGAACACCTCAGCATGTGATGGTTGCCTTCCGCAGGGCCCATTGACACCCCTCTTCCCCAGAGGGCCGTAACTGTTTCGCGTCGCATCTGCTTCGCCGTGCCTGTCTTCCCTGGGCCAGCCTCCGCCTGGGTCCATTCCCGCAAACGTGAGTTGGGAGGCATGCTCGTAGGTTCAGAGAGGCTTTGTGCCATAGTTCCGCCAGCGCGCGCGCGGATTGTTCCCCCACGCAGCGCTGTTCGAGAGGTTATGCTGAGCATGAGCCGCGCCCACTGGGCAGGGTTCCTCTCACCCACAGGTGGCCCGCTCCTCTCTGGGGGACCGTAACATGTACAAGTCATTACCACAGTGGAGATACGGCCGTGATATGTGACAGTTATTTTCCCCATCGCCCAGAGAGCCGTAGAAAAAATGTGGAATTGGGGGGCATTGGCATCCCAGGAGCCTGCTGGAGCGCTGGAGCCTCTCGAGAGCCTTTTGGAGCATCTTGGGAGCACAGGGGTGTCCGCGACTCGGTTCGGTCGACTGCGTCGCAATCGGCTACGCTCGATCTTTCCTGTTCGGCCAGTTGTTGCGTCGTTGTGCTTTTCTCGGCGTCTTCCGGTCTGCGGGCTTGGTCGGTTTCGCTTTTGCTGTCGGATTCGGTCAGTTTTCGGTTTAGCTGTCGCCGTGGACGTCCATGGAGCCAGTCGGGGGTTTTCGGGCCGCTCCGCCCTTTTTGTAGCGCCCTCATGGAGCCCTTGACCCAAGAGAGTTCATAATAATGATGAGAAGGAGACGGTGCTCACGGAAGAGCTACAACCACGGTGCGCCAGCACAGGGTTTCCCAGGCCATCTGGGCAGCCTTCTAATTTGGTGGGGCTGTCCAGGTGTTGAGGGGGTCCTCCAGGCTCGGGTGAACGTGAAAAGTGGGGCAACCCAATGGGGGGCATTCCATTCCTGATGGCCAGTGGCAAGTCCCGGCACGTGCCACCGCAGCCTCGAAGTGCGCGCGAGGAAATGTACCCCGCGTCGGCAGCTCTCTGGGGAGCCAGCGCGGGGAGCATCGATCTTGGGGCCCCTCACAGAGCATCGGGAACATCTTGGAAAGAGCGGTTCGAACTGGGGGCGGCACCCCCCTGAGATGCAAGTGGGTGTAGTGCCAGCGGGGGGCCGCCTGTCAGAATTTGATCATCGTTGCTGATCAGCTGAGCGGCATCTTCTAACACGCGCCACCCTGTGGGGGCACGTCGGCGGATGCTTGCGTCAAGCTTCTCTATGACACGTACAAGGGGGCACATTACGGACACAGGGCCGCTCTGAGGGCACTCGGGTGCATAATTACCACTTGCCCTCTGGGTATTCCCCCCTGAGTGTTCACGACAGGCAATTCTTTCGACACGCGTTAAGGCGTGTCGGGCTGGCCCTGTCAAGCTTTCGTGGGCGCGCTTGCGCTGCCGCAGCGCCCACAAACATGCAGTGAGCGGCACGTGTCCAGTGAGCCCTGGCTCTGGCGAGACCGCCTGGCTGCTTCGGGCCGGCCGGTGGTCAGGTGATCAAGCAGGGAGACCCGGGTACCGAGTTCTTCGTCATCAAGAGCGGTGAGGCCAGCGTCAAGGCCGTTCGTCCTCATTGAAATTGGAGCCCTGGACTTAGAGAGAGGAGTGTCATATAACCTTGCAGGAATGTGTTGATATAGCTAGGTACCAGTGGCGTCGTTCCGAAATTGGCCCCCTTCTGAGGGACATCGTTGCAACCGTATACACTTGCTGGAGTGTTCTTTGATTTTGTTTTGTTGAGTATCACGGTTTGCCGCCTTACGCTGAAAGTTAGTGGTCTTTGCCATGCGCGCGATTGTTTTTCTCGTTCTTGGCATCTGCAAGCCATTGTGGGGTTATAGTGATGGCGGCCGCAGAAATCAAGGCCAATGAAGTTGAGCAGGCGGTGCGAATCTCGTCTCTCGTGAGAAGACCATCCGCTCTGACTACATCTTGTCGAGTCCGCAGGGGTTTGGGCTGTATTGGAGCCATCCTGGGGCCATCTGTAATGCCAGCCGCGGGCCGCCAGTGTGCCAATCTCGGTGGCCCGCATCCATGCCTCGTTTCCTGCCTGTCAGCGCATCCCCGTTCTGCTCTGGGATCCTCTGCACACTCCCGAATTCGGTTTCGGCGTAATCCGCGGCCAACGCACTCAGCAACTAGAATAGCGGAAGAAGTCGCGACCAGATGTGAATTGAATGCGCGAGTTGTTGTGCATGTTGTTGCTACTCAGCGTGACGAACGCAAGCACGAGCGGCGAGGTTCGGCGCTCTTATTGCTCACCACCGCCAGGAGGGTTGCGATGTGGACCCCCCAGGTCTCCGAAGGCCTATTTTGGTTCGAGTCGACAGCCACTGGAGCTCTCGACTCATTCCGCGTGAGGCCCAGGGGCGGTCTTCAGGAAATTGCGTCACTGGGTTCCAGAGTTTCTGCGATCCCCAGAACGGGGAGGAGGAGGAGAAGGCGGGCGGGCAGGAAGGCTCGATCGGCGACTGCTCGAAAGAAGGTCTCAATATGAATACGCCCTCACTTAGGATGACAAGTCTTACCAGCTGTCGTCCGAGTCGCACTCTTCATAGGAGTCTGGGTCGGCGGCAGCAGCAGCGGCTTTCCCGCCCATCGCCTAGCGTCTGGACCAGCTTTCAGCCCGCAGGCAGCGACGACGTACTCTAACCCCTCTTTGGCTGATCGGCGGGAGGCGGCCAGCAGCGCCCGCGCCTGCGGGATGTCAGCTCTGGGTGACGTTGCGGGCCATCTTCCTACAGGTTATCCGACGTGGTCCCAGCGTCTGAGCTTCTTCTTCGGCGTACTCGTGCATGGCGGGCTGCCCAAGCTCGATGCTCCGCAGCTTGGCTCTGGCGCCAGGTCCCGCGGATCTGCTCTTGCACAGCCCGGCTGTGGCCTCTCCGGGTCAGATCTCGATAACCATCCCGCATCTCGTTCTGAAACGAGATCCCGACGTTCGCGCATTGAAGCCTGCAGCAGGGCGTGCCCTCCGCACTCGAATGGCCGCCTCCGCAGCACCGCCCTCCGAGGGTGCCACGCGTCGTCTGCCCAGGTGGTGGCCGGAAACATCTCTGGAGTATCCAGGATCGGAAGTGGTGACGGCTGTTCTATTGCGTCGCTCCGCCGTTTGAAGGTCGCTTGGCCGGGAATCTTCCCTGTCATCACGCTTGCGCCAGAGCCACGGGCCCCTTACACAGCGCCACGTCGTCGTCGCAGACTCCGTGGTTCATCCCCGCATCCCTTGGGTTCCCAATCAAAGATACGACCCGCATGCACATCTGCCACGATGGTGTGCGCGCGCGCGCACCTTGGTGACACCGAAGTCGCATTCATCGAAGTTCTGCCAGAAAGGGCACCACATGTGCCGCCGAGGATGAGTGGTGAGCGTTCCCCAGCCTCGCCCTGATGCGAGGGTGTCCGCAGTGCCCTGGCTGTCGATGTGAAGGTCAATGTAGACCATGGCGACAGTGGACAGCATCTTCCGCGTCCCGCGAAGTCAGGTTGGGCGCCCACTCTACAGGCACTGGGCAAGGAGCAGCCAACACCACATTGCTAGCCCAGCCAGCTCGTGCCCTGCGAGACCCTTGCTACGATCCCCGACTCCCTGCCTTTGGAGGGCGGCTGATCATGAAGATCTACTCGCCAGGGCCATTGCGAAGGAACGCGCACACGGGGCCCCGTGACGATTCCCGTGGCCTGTTTCTCCCTTGTTTGCGCGCTCCGGGCCCTCACCCTCCTCGCCCGCTCCTGCAGCCGAGTAGAGGCGGGCGTGCACAGGTCTCGCCGCTCCGCGAGGGACGGTGAAGCATCGCAGCCTGATCTTCGGTGCCATCGCGATCTTGGTGCCCCGTGGCACTGAGTGCAACAGTCGTTCTGAACCAGTCGGTGTGCGTGCAAGCGCTGCTGACACCGGTGGAAATTCGAGAGGTAAGATCCATAGCGCACGCTGTTCCTCGAGGCTCCAATCACTCCAGAGGGTTCACAGTTGACCAGAATATGGGAATCGCGCTGAACCTGTCGGACTCTACTCCTTCTGATGGTTACCTTGCCACTGTCTTCCACTGAAGCTGCAGTAATATCTGCTCAGATGCCCAAGCCGCGGCGTGCACGACCATCTGTTACACCTTGCGGGAAGGTGTAACCATCATGTCGATGGTTTCGCCCAAGCCGATCGCGAGGGTGGTGGAAGTTTGGAACAACCACCCGCCGCAGCGTCTCCTGGGCCACCTCGGCCGGAGTCGCAATCAGCCGCCATTGCGCGACAGTGGCCTGTAACTTCGTCATCGCCTTCTCCAGCCCCACCTGCGCCATTCTGGGCTTTGGGGGTTTGCTCCCATATGGTCCACATGAAGATTGTCTGACGGGTGACGATCGCGAGGGGATTCACAGTGCATGTTGATGGGTGCGAGTGCAGGCGCACACCCACCGAACATCCTGAGGCTACCTCTCAACGTTGCCAGCGGCAGGAGGAGGAATACGAGGCGACGGAGAAGTAGGATAATGAGGACGGGCGGAACAGCAGCAGCAGCAGCAGCAGCAGCAGCAGCAGCAGCAGCACGAGGAGGAGAAGGAGGAGGAGGAGGACGATGATGATGGTGATGAGGAGGAGGAAGAGGAGGAGGAGGAGGAGGAGGAGGAAGAAGAGGGGGAGGATAGAGAGGAGGATAATGAGGAGGAGGAGGAGGAGGAGGAGGAGGAGGAGGAAGAGGAGGATGGAGGAGGGAGAGGAGGAGGAGGAGGAGGAGGAGGAGGAGGAGGAGGGGGAGGAGGAGGAGGAGGAGGAGGAGGAGGAGGAGGAGGGAGAGAGGAGGAGGAGGGAAGGAAGGGAGGGAGGAGGAGGAGGAGAGGGGAAGGAGGAGGAGGGAGGGAGAAGGAGGGAGGCAGAAGGAGGGAGGAGGAGGGAGGAGGGAGGAGGAGGCAGGAGGCAGGAGGGAGGATGGAGGAGGAGGAGGGAGGGAGGGAGGAAGGAGGAGGGAGGAGGGAGGAGAGAGGATGAGGAGAGAGAGAGAGGAGAGAGAGGAGGGAGGGAGGGAGGGGGGGAGGGAGGGAGGGAGGGGAGGGAGGGGGAGGGAGGGATGTAGGGCGGGGCGGGCGGGGGCGGGCGGGCGGGCGGGAGGAGGAGGAGGAGGAGGAGGATGAGGAGGATGAGGAGGAGGCGGAGGAGGAGGAGGAGGAGGAGGAGGGAGAGGGTAGGAGCAGGAGGAGGAGCAGCCAGCAGGAGGAGGAACAGCCAGCAACAAGCAGCATGCAGCATGCAGCCAGCAGCCAACCGCAAGCAGCCATCAGCCACCAGCCAGCAGCCAGCAGCTAGCAGCCAGCAGCGGCAGCAGCCAGCAGCAGCAGCAGCCAGCAGCAGCAGCAGCAGCAGCAAACAGCAGCAGCAGCAGCAAACAGCAGCAGCCAGCAGCAACCAGCAACCAGCAACCAGCAACCAGCAACCAGCACCAGCACCAGTACCAGCAGCAGCAGCAGCAAAGGCCAGCCAGCCATCCAGCCAGCCAGCCAGCCAGCCAGCCAGCAGCAGCAGCAGCAACAGCAGGGGAGGAGGGGGAGAAGGACAGGGAGGAAGAGCGGGAGGAGGAGAAGGAAGGCAGGAGGAGCAGGAGGAGAGGGGAAACAGGATGAGAAGGAGGAGGAAGAGGAGGAGGAGGAGGAGGAGGAGGAGGAGGAGGAGGGGTGAGGAGGGGGAGGGGAGGAGGAGGAGAAGGAGGAGGGAGGAGGAGGAAGACGGAGGAGGAGGGAGGAGGAGGAGGAGGAGAGAGGAGGAGGAGGGAGGAGGAGGAGGAGGGGGAGGGCGAGGGAGGGGCAGGAGGAGGAGGAGAGGAGGAGGAGAGAGGAGGAGGAGGGAGGAGGAGGAGGAGAAGGAGGAGGAGGATGTGGAGGTGGAGGAGGAGGACGAGGATCGTGATGCTGATGATGATGATGATGATGAGCTGATGATGTGATGCTGTGATGCTGATGCTGATGCTGATGATGATGATGATGATGATGATGTGATGATGATGATGATGATGATGATGATGATGATGATGATGATGATGATGATGATGATGATGATGATGATGATGATGATGATGATGATGATGATGATGATGATGATGATGATGCTGATGCTGATGCTGATGATGCTGATGATGATGATGATGATGATGATGATGATGATCTGATGATGATGACGATGATGATGATGATGATGATGATGATGATGATGATGATGATGATGATGATGATGATGATGATGATGATGATGATGATGATGATGATGATGATGATGATGATGATGATGATGATGATGCTGATGCTGAGCTGATGCTGATGCTGATGCTGCTGATGAGGAGGAGGAGGTGGAGGTGGAGGAGGAGGAGGAGGAGGAGGGGGACGAGGAGGAGGAGGGGGGGGGGTAGCAGGAGCCCGAGAATGAGGAGGAAGAGGGGGAGGAGGATGAGCAGTTGGAGCAGGAGGAACACCGATCCCGTGTCCGCGACGAGGTCACCACGGATGGGGTCACGAAGGTGCTCGCCACCCTGAAGCCAGGCGACTACTTCGGAGAGAGCGCGCTGCTGCGGGACGAGCCTCGCGCCGCCTCGGTCGCGGCAGAGACCAACCTCGTCACCTTCAAGATCGGGCGGGAGAAGTTCACCAGCCTGGGTCCGCCCAGGGGGGGGGGGGGGGGGGGGGGGGGGGGGGGGGGACGTGGAGTCGAAGGTGGGGGGTGGGGGCGGGGTCCCAGACTCGAATCGTCTTTGATTGCAACTTCTGCTAGTACTCTCTGCCTTCTCCAGGCCTCCTGCCTCCTCCTCCTCCTCCTCTTCCTCCTCCTCCTGCGTCCTCCTTCCTACTCGTCCCTTCCTCTTCCCCCCCCTCCTCTGCCCCCCTTCTCTCTCAGCCGGCGTCCCGGCGCATTAGGGCGCCTCTCGCAGCGCGGCCGCCTTGCGCCTGCCCTTCCCTATTCCCGCTCCGCGCGCCCGCGCGGGCGGGCAGAGGTCTATTGGCCTGGGCCCGCCAGGCGGAAACCCGAGTCCTGCCTATCTTTTCTGGGCCTTGGCTTGGCCACGGCCGCCGGGCGCGGCTCGAACAGAAGGCACCCGAGAGCTTCCCGAACTTTTCGGGCGTAGCATGTAAGGACAGAGCGCTTGTGGTTGGCGAGGGCAGAATTTGACGAGTGTTGGTCATTTTGCTCTCATCTCTACAGTGCTACTCGCTGGTCTGTACCCTACACGAGTGGTCTACGCAAGGTCTCTACCCTCCATCCTCTACTCTCCATGTTATTATTGACCCTCTCCGCCATACTCTGGGCCCTCGACTCTACTTGCGCCTCCCCACTCATGGCTCTCCATCATTTGCGCTCTGCCTTCTGACCTTTGCACCATGCGCTCTGTGACATGCTCCCCTTCCTGTCTTCCATATTTCCCCAACCGTGCTTGCACTGAGGGGTTATCCATTCTCCAAACAGCGTTTCCCAAACAGTGCTTGCACTTAGGGGATCTTATTTAATCGCTTCGCTCATGCCGCCGGCCCTGGAGCCCTCTTTAGGGCCTCTTGGGGGCCTCTTGGGGACCTCTTGGGAGTCTCTTGGGGCTCCTTGGCGGCGTTTTGGAGGCCCCCAGGGCCTCTTGGGGGGCTCTTGGGGGTAGTCGATTGCGGCTCCCCCCTCGGAGGCCACGATCCTCGTGAGGGGTGTCGAAAAATACCCTCCCCTGGAGTGGTCTGGTGGCTTCTCCCGGGCTTCTCTCGGGACCTTGCCGGGGTACTTTTCGTCCGGGGGCCCCCAGGGGCCGCTCCGCGCGCGCGAACTAGAAGTATTGTTAACAAGTTACCGGAGATCAGTGCTTGCGTTTAGGGGATCTTATTTCTATTCTAAGGAAGTGGGCCTGTGCGTTGGTCTGGCGGCTGTGTTGCCGCCGTCGCCGCCCCGTCGCCGCCTCGTCGTCGCCCGACGTCTGGGGCGAAGCGTCGGTCTGGCGGCCATGTTGCCCCCGTCGCCGCCCCGCCGCCTCGGCTCTGCCTCGTTTCCGCCCGACGTCCGAGGTTGTGTGTCGGTCTGGCGGCTATGTTGCCGCCGTTGGCGCCCCGTCGCCGACTCGCATAGATTGTGCCGCGCACCGCATATAATGCACTGCATAATTGGCTCAAGCCGCCCCGACCCAAGCCGCACTGGCGGGCAGTCCTTCCCGGCGCGCACCGCTTTCCCTCTCCTCATTCTACCCCTCCGCTGCAAACCTCCGAGTCTCCACTTCGCCCGCCATGGCTGCCCCCGCGATCGTGGGCCTGCCAGGACTGAAGGACCCTTCGCAGACGCCGACGCGCGTCGACACCACGGCCGACGAGGCTAGCGCCACGCAAGGCCTGGCCGCTTTGCAGATGGGCGTCCCCGCCGACGCCAGGCTGACACAGGATGGCCCGAGAGGTGCCCCTCCCGGAACCCCCGCCGTGCCGATGCGCTCGATCTCCAATGGCATTCAATGGGCTCCTCCGCGGCGCGCCCGCTGATGTTCGCCTTGCCACGGGCGCGGCGCTGGCGGCGATCGAGCTGCCCGACGGTGCCAACCTGTGGGCGGCCTCGGCGGACATCGCGGAGGCCTCCTACAACGTGGAGCTGCCGCTCGCTTGACGGCCGTACTTCGCGCCCCCGCCGATGGACGCTGGGAGGCTGGGGCGTGGTGCCGCCCAGGGGCAGCAGCAGTCTCGGCTGCTGTGGCCGCGTCTCGCGGTTCTGCCCATGGGATGGACCCACTCGCTGGCCGTCTGTCAGCGGGTGTCGGAGTCGGCGGCCGATCGGGCAGGGCTGGCGCCGGCGTCGAGGGTCGTGGACCGTCCCACCGTGGACCGCCGGGTCCGCCCGGGCCTGGCAGGAGGCGCGCACCTCGAGCACGTCGACAATTTTGCCTCGCTCTCGCTGGCTCGGGACACCCCCGAGCGGACGAAGGATGACACGGTCGCGAAGCTGCGCGAGAGCGGTCTCCCAGTCCACGAGGAGGAGAGTGCAGCGCCCCACGCGCAGTTGCTGGGTTGGGTCACTGATGGCGAGCGCGGGCTCGTCTCTTCCGACGCCTCGGAGGGCTCGGCGCTTAATCCTCGCCACGCGGGCGCTCCTGGCAATGCCGAAGGTCTCGGCTCAGCAGGGGGGCAAGTGATCGGACGCTACGCCACCCTCTTCATGGTGAGGCGCCCGCCGTTGTCCATCTTCTCCGCGGCGTACCGCTTGATCGCCGAGGCTGGGGAGGCATCGCGCCGGTGGTAGCCCTGCGTGCGCCGCGAGCTGCCGTGGGCCATGGGCGTCGTGCCGCTGGCCGTGGCGGACCTGCGCGCGGACTGGCTGGGCCGAGTCCTGTGCGCGGATGCCTCTGCGTGGGGCCGAAGGGTGCGCGGGCGTGACTATGACAAAAGTGCGGTTCAGAAGCTCGGCGGAGTTCATGGGCGCCGGCGCTTCCGAAGCCCCAGCGCGAGAGCCCCCGGGGAGCAGCTCCTCGCGCCCTTGGGGCCCAACCAGAGCCTCGTCGACGTCGAGCCGCTTTCGAAGTCCAACGCCCCCCCCCTAGCTCGCAGGCTTCTGCGGGGCCCACCAACCTCGCGGAGCCCTTTGCACAGCAGCTGCCCACGGGTTTCGAGCGTCTGAAGGCGGAGATGTCTCGGGTGAGTGGGTCGCCATCTCCAGTGGGGCCTGGGGGCGGGGGGGCACGTCGCGGCGTTGGAGGGGGGGGCTCTCGTTCACGCACTGAAACATGTACTATGAGATTTGAGACAGCATGGCCATCGTGTTCTCTTTCTCTCGGATGGTCTTGTCGCCGTCCTGGCACTTTCGAAGGGCCGCTCCTCGCGGCCGACCTCGCCGTTGCGGGCGGTATTGGCGCGGCGCTGCGCTGGGTGCCCTCGGAGGCGAACTCGGCGGACCTGTCGTCTCGTCGCGCCCACCGCATTGGTGCTTGGCTCCAGGGGGGCGCAGTCGCCAGTCTGGCCGCCGCGCATTGGCGCGGCCCCGCGAGCGGCGGCGGCCCGGGACCAGGCCGCGAGGCCGCGGGCGCCGCTGGAGGCGGCCCCCGGCCTGAAGGCGAAGGCGGCGGAGGCGGCAGCCCGGCGCGCAGGGGGGGCAGCGGCGCGGGCGCCCGAGGCCGCAGCCTTGCGGGCCTCGGCAGGACATGTTCTGAGGGCCCTATCGGTGACCGAGACCACGAGGGCCAAGCACGTGAACCTGTGGGAGGAGTTCTCCGCCTGGCCAGCGACCGCGACTCTGCCGCATTGGACCGAGACGGCGGACGACCTGCTGACGCTGCGAATGGACCAGCAGTACTCCGAGGGCTGGAACCCCGAGCGGGGCGCGCGCATGCTGGCGGCGCTGAAGTTCATGATGCCACAGTTCTCACGGGATGCCGGTGGCGCTGCAGGCCCTGCGGGGCTGGCGCAGGCGGGTGCCCGCCCGCGCCAGGCCCCCGCTGCCGTGGGAGATCGCGGCGCTGATCGCGGCGAGGCTGATCGAGTTTGGCCAGCTGCGGGCGGCGATCTACGTGCTGGTGACCTTCGCGGGGCACCTGCGGCCGTCGGAGGCCCTCAGGGCGATGGGATCTCACCTGGTCCCTCCGACGCCTGGCGGGGCCCGCGACGGGCGGTCGCTGGTCCTCCATCCCCGCGAGCTGGCGGCGCCGAGCAAGACGCAGGTCTACGACGAGGTGATACCCTTCGACGCGACGTTCTACGGGTTCCTGCCAGCGGCCCCTTGCTGGCTCAAGGCGTCGGCCCATCCGAACGCGCTGCTGTTCCCGATCACCCTCGCGCAGGCCAGCACCCTGTTCAAGCAGGCGGCGGCCGACGTCGGCGCTGCGGCGCTGACGCCGCAGCTGTGCCAGCTCAGGCACTCGGGGCCGTCGGTGGAGCTGGCCGTGAAGCTGCGGACCCTGGCCAGCGTCAAGCTGCGCAGCCGCTGGAGGACCGACGCCTCGGTCGCCCGGCACCCGAAGCTTGGGCGCGTGAACGAGCAGCTGCAAAGGCTGGACCCCGCGGTGCAGCGCGCGGCCCTGCTGGCCCCCGCTCGGCTGGCCTCGCTCCTCAGCTGGCGCTAAGGTGGCGCGGCGCAGACGTTTCCTGGCGCTGCCCATCTTCGTGGGGGTGTTCTCGGGCGAGGGCGCGCCTGCGGCTGCCCTGCGAAAAGAGGGCCCCCTGGTCATCGAGTGGGGCGTCGCCTGGGGGCCCGACAGGGATATGACGGTCCCGAAGGTGGCGCGGCTGCTGTGCGGCTGGCTGGACGCGGGGCTCATCTGGGGTCTGCGCTTCGGGGCGCCCTGCCAGACGTGGACCAGGATCAGAGACACTGGACCTCTTCGTGCACCAGGCGAAGCCGGGTCTGCCTAGTCGTTTGAGATCTGACAGCGAGATTTGGGGGCTGGCGGCCGCGACGCACCCAGTTGATCGAGCTCAGATTGTGTTGGCAAACAATGGTGTGAATGTTTGTGAAAACTTGTGGTCTAGTTGTAGGCGCATGTCGATTCCTCTCGCAATCGAGAACCCGGCTATGTCTAGGCCGTGGTTCATTCCGTCACTTCAGTGGCTTCGGAAGGAAGCGCGTGTCTTGTGGGCTGTCACGCGCTATTGTCAAGACGGGGCCCCTTGGAAGAAGCCCGCGGGTCTCTTGGGGGTCCGCGTAGATGTTGCAGTGTTTGCTCGTCTTTGTCAAGGCTCACGCACATGTTGTAGCAGGACTGGCAGTCCCCATCAGATGTTGAAGAGTAGAGCTCCGAGAAGGCCTTTGTGGACTCTTGTGGCGCAGCCTTACCCGAAACTGCTCGCCACGAAATGGGCGAGAGTTTTTGTCAACGCACGTTTACAGTCTGAAGCCTTATCCGTCTCGCCTGTGTGGCTCGGCTGCTGACAAGAGAGGAGGAGCCCTCTGGAAGGTTCGGGGAGGCTTGGCCGTGGGGCCGCGCGTCAGAGTTGAATTCGGCGACTGAATGATCTCTGCTTGGGCCCCAGTGCGCACACGGTGCTGCGTTTCGCTTTCGAAGACAATCCGACGTTGGCCTCGGAGAAACCATCGTGCGGGCATGCTGAGCGGGATGCTGATGATGATGCTGACGGTGATGATGCTTATGGTGGTCATGCTGTTGGTGATGATGCTGATGGTGATGCTGTTGTTGATGATGATGATGATACAGTTGTTGATGACGGGGATGACGAGATTGATGATTGTGATAACGTTGCTGATGCTGGTGCTGACGCTGATGATGACGATGCTGATCATCATGGTTCATGATGGTGATTATGATCTTTATGACTACGAGGAGGAGAAGATTGATCATGGTTGTGGTGGCGGTGGTGCTGGTGGTGGTGGTGATGACGCTGGTTATACGGATGTCGGTTGCTGATGCTGCTGATGTTGATGAAGACGATGGCGATGTTGATGCTGATGCTGGTGATGTGGATGCTGATGGTGATGCTGATGCTGCGGATGAAGATGCGGATGCGGATGATGATGATGATGCCATGATGACGATCACGACGATGACGAGGAGGAGGAGGAGCAGGGTGAGAGCAGGGATGGAGCATGGTGGGAGAAGATTGGGACGGGAACGATCCTGCTCCCACTCCCCTTTGCCAGACTCTGATGTTCTGATTTCCTTTCATGTTCTGATTTCCTTTCATCGGGGGGGGTCCCTGGGCCTCTCGGCCCCTTCTCTTTTTTTGGGGGGGGGGGGTGGTCTGGAAGTTTTGGGGTGGTCGCCGAGGTGCGAAAAAAGGCCCTTGGAGGCGCGTCGGGAGAACCAGCTGCATGCAGCTGATTCGCTCAGCCCTTTGTGACCATCCGACAATCCCCGTCTCCCCGGTCGCCCGTCCATCCAGAAGACTGTGCTTACGGCCTGGCCCTCCTCCCCGAGGCCTGAACGAGAAGCTCGAGTTTGCCAACCGCAAGGCAGGGGCCTATTAGCGGAAAGGGCGCCCTCGATGTCCGGCCGAGAGTTGGCACTCCTCAAGAGGGGTCGTCGTCGACGTCGGCGGTGTCGGCGTCGGCGTCGGCGTCAGACGCCGGGTGTAGTGGCGTTGGGAAGCGGAGAGAGCGACGAAGTGAGCAGGGAGGATAGAGGGTCGAGGATCGGCGTTTTTCTGCTGCTTAGGGTACCAGCGTCCCCCGGAGATTCCTCATCCATGCTCCCTCCTGCCTTCCCCCTCCTCCCGAGGAGGAGGAGGAGGAGGAGGAGGAGGACGAGGAGGAAGAGGCGGAGGAGGAGGATCAGGAGGAAAGGAACAAATAATATAATCCAAGCTTTTTGGCGTTTTCGGCTCGCTCTGGGCTCGAGACCGTCAGGGGGCGAGCGCGCGGTGCTGCTGACTTTCGGAAGGAGTCAAGTCATTGATTGGTGTTGGCTCTGCTTAGCCGTTAACGGGTGGGGCGAACCAGGGTTGAAGACCTCCGGCAGCCCGATCTTGTTCGAGTTGCTGGCGCCTGCAGCTCTCGACCCCCTTGCCCTGGGGACCGGGTTCTCATCCCAGACTTCGAGCGGATTTGTGTGTTCGAGCCGAGGGGATTTCAGTACATTCTGGCCTCCGAGGGGAAGTCCCGGGCCTGGGAATCATCAGACCCTGTCCAAGCCGATCTTGGGCCAAGGAATTGCTGGCAGGTGTATAGCCGGTGCCCTCTGAGTCACAGGTTTCCCCTCGAGACTCGCTTCTCGGCTGGGTGAGCGACTGACGCAAATGGGATCGAACGCGCGAACACTCGCGCGTGGGCTCGCGAAAGAGAGCGCGCAGGCACCCTCTTCTCCACGTGGTGTGCCGCGTCGACAGCCCGCGTAGGCCATCCCGTGGTGCCGCCATGTCCTCACGCTTGAGACACTTTAAACGGAGAAGGTTAAAGGCGAGATATAAATCGAGCATGTACCGCTGCCGTGCCTGGCTCAAGCCGGGCCCGGCCTAATATATGTGACTGTGCCTCACCGAGGCGCACTACTTGCATCTGAGATCGGAAAACATCTTTTCCATTGACGATGCCCATCCTACTCTATACTCCAGATCCCATGCTTCGTCTCGCTCTCTTGCTCATGCGATATGAGCCAAAGCCTGGGATATGGGAGCGCCTAAGGCGGACTACATACCTAAGCTTACCAGCTTGTTTTCGACTTGGTAGCGGAGCTGGCTACACTCTCGTGTGGCTGGCTCTCGCTCTGATTCCAGTAATCCACGGCACAACTTGGTGGACTACTACACGGTGGAATACCATGTTGCGCCGGCTCTGCGAGGAGCGGAGCCAGTCCGCGATCGAGCTAGCGGGGCAACCCGCGAACTCGAGACGCTTTCTCCTACTTCACTGCGCTACTTCACTCCCGACTTCCACCAGATGCCAATCGGCAACTCGATCGAGAACGTGGTCACCCTGCGGGGCTACCCGCAGCGGGGCCACCTGCATCCCGTGCCGGTCAGGCGCCTCACGGCTACTACGCCAGAGCCTGACAAACCACAGCCTAAACCAATCACCGAAGCCGAAATGCATATGCATTGGATCAAGATAACTATCTTCGGCATTCTATGGGTGATAATGGGATGTGCTGTGGGATACATGCGGCAGGGGATGGACGACACGCGTACTACTGGCCCTTCATGGGACCCTGCCGGTACTACGCCTTTCCGCGAATACGTTCGCGAAGTACATGCATGGTTAAACGTAACGAGCGGCAATATGACACCACCACAACAAGCTGCAGCACTACAACGAGGCCTTCAAGGTCTGGCTCGTCGTATCGCCATGCAGGTCCCCTCCCAGATCATCAATTATGGTGTAACTGTCAATGGACAGCCAACGGATGCAGTAACCTACATACTGTACTTACTGAGCACCAAATTTGAAAATCTGGAAGATGAGCGCCAGCTCAACTCTGGCACGGCCCTTATCGACTTCCGCGTCGAAAGGGGCGAGCGAATCGACTCAGTATTAGCTCGATTCGAGATGGCCCGTGACGAGGCTAACTCTGTTGGCTTTGTCATCCCCAACTTTCAGATCCTAACGCTGATTCTCTTCAGAGCGTTAGGCGTTGGCGCGTCACGAGCCCAACACCTGCTTGAGCCCTTCAATCATCAGATGCCCCGAACACAAGCAGACTATGACAGGCTGTTGACCAGGATGAGGAACTACGGACATGTTGCCGAGCGCTCTCCTGGCAACATAGCGGGTATCTTCACAGGGCACCACTCACATGCAGGTGTCTACGCCACGACTGCGGGGTCACCCGCTGGTCCTGGCGAGCCAAATCCCTGGGCTGACCCAGCCGATATGCCCAACGAGGCCACTGCCCTTCTAGGGCAGACCGGCCAGGCATCGGCAGAGGCAGCTGAGGCGAACGCCTGGTCGAACTACTCGCCAGGCGCCGCCTACACTGCAAGCCCGCCCTCGGGCACAACCCTCTGGGGCCAAGCGGAGTCATCCGCTCAATGGTCTCAGCCACCCTCACCGTTTGAATCTGGCACTGACACAGATACCTCATCTGACGATGAGCACAATGGAATAGTCTCTGCTGGTAATGACTATCCAGCGGATGACACTCACCTTTCTGAACAGCAAAGGGCGGAAGCCGCCTTTATGGCTTATCGCAAATCAAAACGCCGTTGGAGGCGCTTTATGAAGAAACCAGTCAGAAAGGTGAGACGTGCAGTACGCCGACATTTCAAACAATTTGGAAAGGGTCGTGGTAAAGGGGGTCGCAGACGCCGTATGCATGGTAGGGGTATTACTGCTTTCCTCACGTCCTTAACTGATATGGCTTTTGAAGAAGTTCTTATCGGAGGCAAAGGTCGGGGTCACAGGCGGACCTCCGGTAAGGGAAAGGGGCGGAGGGGCAACCCTAGGGACGCTTCTGGTAATACTATGAAGTGTCATACATGCGGTAGCACAGAGCATTTGCGCGATCAATGCCCGAAGGGGAAAGGAAAGGGATCCGTACACTTGGCTCAAAATTCTTTTATGGATGACATAGATTACATTGACTACGAGTTTTACGTCAATCCAGAAGCGGCTCCCGCTGCGGGCTCCTCCACGTATTACGTGATGGCCCGCTATGCTGAAGCAACTGTGGCCCTGGAAGACTACGCAGTGACCCTCTTCGACGAGTTCCACGGCTGGGACGAGGTCGATGAGATTGCGTACAATGCTTGGTTCGGTCTTCCAGCGGGGCCACCCGCCGGTGACGAGGTCTCCGAAGCCGAGACTGTCCCGGCAACAGAGGAAGAACTCACCGCCGCGCTGGCCCCACAAGTGATTGGTATGCCGTTGCTGCCAAATCCGTCGTGGGCTGGCTCGGAGATGGGAGACGCCGATGACGAAATGCGGGGCCATCCCGCGGATTCCGACTCCGAAGAATCCGAAGAAGATTACAATGACATGCTCCAGGAGCAGGTTTCAGAAGCAATCCGACTCTTGAGTGCGCCAGCACAGCAGCAGATGACGATGAACGAACTGCTGTCGCACCCAGGAGTTGCCCGTCTACGTCCATACTTGGATTCGAACATGTCAGCATCTCAGATGCTTGCAGCACTCCAAGCTCTAGCGGGGTCACCCGCCGAAGAAATGCTAGACACAACAGCGGGGCCACCCGCTTGGTCTATGGATGTATTCATGCAAGGTTGTGATCAAATGAACATTAACGACCTCTCGATGGAGCAGTTAAATGACATCGGATATTTCAGAAGCCCGTATCAAAACGTGTTCATGGTCCAGGACAGCTCAGAGGACTCGGAGGACATGCGGTACGCCAAGAGGGACAGGCGACCGTCGCCTCCCCGAGACTCAGAGCATGACGATCAAAGGCCAGTGACACGTGGTAGTGCGTCAGCGGGGCCAGCCCGCGGAAGGAGCCGCTCAGCTCCTAGACGCCCTACGCATGATGAATCGGGCTATCCATACAGCACTGAGCACTCCGTTGGAGTATCTGCTCAGCAGGTGCCGGATTGGTACATCAGATGGTACCCCGGCTACTCTATGGATACTCTTCGGCATTGGTACTCTAAGGAATACTGTACCAAAAGGGACGAGACTGGCGCGATAATCCGTACCAAGGGCGGCAAGACCAAGACGCCAGAGGCCTGGGACAAAAGGGCGAAGAAGCAGGAGATCATCACTGACCGCAAAACATACAGAAAGCAAGTATGTCAGTGTGAGCCCTTCAAAGGCCACATGCGCAGGTGTCCGATGGACCGCCCCTCCAGGAGCCCTCACTATGGAGAGACCCCGTGGAATTGGTCTCATGGAGACGACGCGGGCAACGTCCATGATCCGAACAAAGAGGTTCCTGGAGGAGGAAAGCGCATCACAGAGGCCGATCGCGTCCCTATGACCGAAGAGGTGGCCACACCGTCAGGGAAAATTGGGCAAAGCTTCCCAATGACCACCGCCTCAAGGAATGGAACCGCCGATTCCATAAGGAAGCGGGGTCACCCGCAGAATCCAGTAAGGAAGCGGGGTCACCCGCAGAATCCAGCAAGGAAGCGGGGTCACCCGCAGAATCCAGCAAGGAAGCGGGGTCACCCGCAGAAGCAGCACCAGCCGCTGGATCTGCGGACGAGTGGATAGACGTTGTCTCTGCTGCCGGGTCCGCCGCCGGCACTGACCGCACCGAGCTAAATGAAGAGTGGGCGGCGGAAGACGGTTCAGAGAATCCATTCCCTGACGGAAGCGCCTGCTGGTACTACAGCTCTTCGGCGCAGAAGTGGTTCTGCACGAGGGTACTCTACCGCCATGAGAATGGCAAGTACAAGCTGGCCATAAAGGGTACTGCCGACATCGACCAGATGAGGCAGGTCATCCATGATCATGGCCAGCCAGAAGGCCCTCCTAGAGACCCTCCTGGTCCACGACCAGGCAAGAGCAGCAGACCACCGCCAAGACCTAAAGCCGACTCCTCGTCTTCACCGACTCCTGCGAAAAGG